AATAGGATAGGAAGGAATAAGTTAGCCATTTTGATCAATTATGATTAGCTTTGACAGAAAAAATTTCAAAATTCAAAAATCTCTATTTTTTAACAAATCAAGTCTGATAGATCAATGAAATTAGTTATTCAGGGAGAATCTAAAAATTTAATAAAATACAGGGTGTGCCACAAAACTTTGATACACCACATTTTTTTGGGACATACTAAGTATATATTTTAAAATAATTTTAAAAAGGTGGCTTTCCTCATCATATATACTTAAAAACTAGGAGTTATTTTAAAACTTTATCGATTCACTATAAACGTCAGAGGCGTGGTAAATTATTCTGTATAATATGTTATTGTTATTGACAGTTAACTAAACATGAAACATTACCAGTCTTTTTTGTATCGTTTCTCATAGAGACTTTTCTTGATATATTTTTAAAACGGTACTGAAATATCCCATAGATGTTTAAATTTTAACATCATATTTATTAACATTCCTCGCATATATCTACAAATGAAGTTTTATGTACGCTGAAATACTTGAATTAGCAGTTACATAAGCATCTTTTGTACTTCTTTTTAGTTACTTCCTGTGACAAACATTTATACGATGTTAACTCACAATAATATCGCATACAGGTCAGCACAGTAATGTGTACAAGTTACACATCTTTAGGATGGATACCATTAGTCTTTAAATCGCAGACCTGGCACAGTTCGTTAGGTGTTAATAGATGGAGATACCAATGATCGCTTGCTACTTACGTAACCGGTAGTACTGTATTATGGAGCATTCTGTTGGCCGATATTAAAGTATTTCAACACAAAGTTGTTACTTTTACCTTTGATATTAATTTATACCATTGTATTATCATACTTTTTCTGTAAAATTTCCAGGGAATTAGAAGTTTAACTTGTCTTCTAAGCTTTTAACTTCAAGTTTATTTGTTTCTAGTTTCTATTCTGTTTTATATAGATGAAATATCTATATAACCACGATACACAGACTAACAGTATGTTCCTGCGCATGCAGCTGACTGACGGTGACGTCACGTGGGACATAAAATTATAAGCATTAAATGGGAGATAGTGTTCAAAATTCGATATTTTGCCAATTTTAGATTTTATGTAGTTACTTAAGCGTTATTGGTTATTTTGTAATATATTCGTTTACAAATATGAAGGTTTAAGGTAAATAATAATAATAAAAATATTAATTTTTCTCATAAATTATAGGTATTTTGTGACAAAATCCATAATCTGGCCATAAGATAAGTAAAAGATATAAACTAAAAATACAAGTTTGACTTAAATTTGTACTTTCTGGGCGTAGCAGATCTCTTGCAATCTCTTTTCTTATTATGTAAAATAAAAATAAGTGTGCAGAAACAAATTATTTATTTACAAAAAGTAAGTACAGAAAAACATTACTTTTTATTTGGACAATTTAAACATTTTTTGTCAAGTTTACTTTGAAAATACTCAAAACCAATTTTCCTGTTCATTTATCTTATTCTTATATATGTTCGTAACTTGCTCATGCATGGCATTACTTCAAAAGGACCGTTGTATTGGGTCAGGAAACTACTGTTTTATCTGCTAAAATTTTTTAATACCGATTTATTTTCTTTGCTTAATGATGCCCGTGCACCTGGTGGAATTCAGTTTCCTTTTCTTACGTCTAGGTTTAAGACGAATCTCACAACTACTTTCCTCAAAATGGATTTCAATTAAGTTTGTTCTTTCTTCGATAAGAATTTACCCATAATTTGTGGCATTCGGAAATATCTCTACCACGCAGCCCGGCATTTTAAACATTAATTTAATTCTTCCCTGTTATATATAGGAAAATATAGTCACTACTAACACAAAAACATATAAATTATTTAATTATTTTACACTACTCAATCGAAAAGTGTCAAAATAACTTGAAAGTTCGTCCCGTATTACGTCATGCGCGGTTTGGACGAATTTTGAATCGAAAGTCAGCATACCTTTAGTATGTGTATCCTGTATATAACATATTCCATATAAAATTTAAAAGACAAAGATAAAAATAAAAAGGTATGAACTGTATCGTATTTGGAACGTCACATTTGGTTCATTAATATGATTTTATTTTATGGGCTTTCTTGGATATAACAGGAATGTCACATCTGGTTTGTTAAAAGCATATCATTTTTAGGAAGTTCCAGTAACGTTGAATAACATAACAAGTTAACGCTATAATATCACCGCAACGTCTACATAGTTTCATCACAAAAGTAAACGTCCCTACTCTAGGCTTAGACGGTTATGAGTCCGTCTTATAGATGAAAACAAGAGTAAAAATAAGAGTTACAATGTAACAAAGTGATGTAAAGTTCTCATTAATTTAACGTTTTTATGCATAGTGGGAAATTATACTGAAACTGAAATAGTAGTTTGTGCAACAAGAGTGGATATTGAGTTGCACAGTATATTTTTTCTATGACCCACTAACGAAAATCTATAATATTTTAGGTTATTAAGACAAAATAAATAATTTTAAAATAATTTGTTTTTTACTAATTCATAAAATAAAGAAAAGACAATTAGCCCCTTGTCCAGATTTGAACCCGGGCTATTCGCATGGAAGGCAGATGTTCTGTCCTCAGCTCTACCGCCACCTTTGTGATTTTGGTTTTAATACTCGTAATTAAACTAGTTTCATATAGTTTGATTAAAATTTAATTTTTTTTTTAAATTGTAGCCCAAATAAAAATAAAAATGTTATTATTTATCGATTCTAAACAAAAATAACTAATTTAGTGTATATTTAATCTTAATAACTAAAAAATATACGGAAAATTAGTTTGACAGAATAATTGTCACTTATTTAAAATTTTAAAAATAATAGTAGTTTGGTATTCAAAATATGAACTGTGATTGGTGGATTTCTTTTTTTTTTTTGGCAGTGTTCTCACTACTTAGAATAGATATGAAATATATTCGTTCCTAATATATACTTTTCCTTTTTTTAATCTGTGCGTAGATAAGCTAATAGCCCTGTAGGTGTAGATGTTTTTTCTACGCCCACATTTCAATGTAGAAAACTAGAAAAATAACTAGAAATACCTACGCAACGTAAATAAGTAGTTTTTAGTATTTACCCCAAAAAAACTGCTATTTGCACTACTTCATACTATATTTTTTTAGTTTATAATGTTTATGTAACATAATTTATGTTTATAATAATATAAATACAAAATACGTCTGAGAAATAAGGATATCTGCATCTACTTGCCCCTTACTGTTATTACTTTAAGTTGAACAATTTCACTGCTTCAAGGCACAATGCTTTTCTCAAATGCATTCAAACAAGTGATATGGATGCGAGTCCGAGCTCTAGTGACCGGTTCGAACAAGAAATTTTTTGTTTTTATTTTTTATATCATAAACACGCATTTAAAAGTAATTGTAATTTAAAAATGTAATTGTACTTATAAATGTAATTTTAATTGGAAAAAGTTATTGTATTTAGATAATTTATTAATATAAATTAATATAATTACAAAGTACAATGCCTCCACAGATTTTGTTGCAATTATAATTCCAAATTACGTTGAGAAAAGAAAGTACTTAAATACAATTACAAATTACATGAAAAAAGTAATTGTAATTTTTAATTGCCTTTTACAATATAATAACTAGGAATTACCTAGCTCTGCCATCTAGTAACATTTGTAGAAAAATGTTTTCTCTAACTACACGGGTTTGACAAAAAGCTACAGAACAAAACGTTTAAACTACTAGTTTTTAAAACCATGCATCAAGCTTAATAAAGGAATCCGTTGATTTACTAACAAGCACTTACAATAACAACGGCAATAATAAATTCGTAATATAATAGTTAATAGTTAAATCCACTAGCTGTGAATATTTCCAACAATGCAGAAACCGTCTCTAAATCATCTTCTTAACTCGCTTAACGCCTAACATAATATTTGTTTAGCTTTTCACATAATCATTTGTAATTTGTATTTGTGTATTTTACTGCATTCTGGAGGAGCTAACTTTGATAAATGTGCTTGAAGGTCAGCAGGATGTCTTCGGAAGAATGTTTGATCGTTCTACCAGTATCTGCATAGCGATGAGAGAAATAGAAAATTATTCATGTATTTTACAGAGAATCTACAATTTATGGTTATGGTTATGCATTAAGGAGTTTTATGTCAATTTGGTAAATACACGCCTATATTCTAGCAACCAATCAGATTTGTTCAGTTTCTTAAAATCGGCCAATGAACTGTAATTTTAAATGTTTAGTTTTTTTTTTAATCCAGTTTAGCTATGAAAGTCAAGCATTATTAAGTTAATTTTTCTCGTCAATCTAATACACTAACATTTTATATGTTTACGAAGATTGATATTTCTTTAGTTCTTATTTTTTCACAGAAAAGGTTTGACAACACAGTATAAATAATACAAAATTACCTCTTGTAACACATAACCTCTAAGAAATAATAATTAATATTATAGAGAGTGAAATGTGTCAAATTTGCTTAGTTCAAATAAAAATAAACTGAGTAGTATATTGTCAAAGTCAAGCGAAAGCCAACATACACCATCTTGATTAATTCCTACAATGTTGTAAGCTTATTCAATACTCTATAAATATTCGCCATGGAGGTCATGATATGTGCTGTTGAAGTCATAATATGCGCCATGGAGGTCGTGATATGCGCCTTGCTTACAATCAACTATGCCTTGGATAGTAATTTCTATCTTGAGAACTAACTCTGTCAGAGTTTGAGTGAGTGTTTTCTTAACACAGCGTTGTTTTAAATCGCAAGATTCTGTCAAGAAACGTAAAATTTAAATGTCGTACATTTAAAATAATCACTGTTTTAAAACTTCTATTTAGAATATAAACAGATTTATATTTTAAAAATATTTATCAAAGTTAGTTATATTTAATTTCTTGTCTTTTTATATATCATTATTTTGTTCAAATGTAAAAAATCTGAACTTCTTTTTTTTTTCTTTCAGATAATTATTGGAAAGAAGTGGACAATATTTATATAGGCCATTGTCAAGAGTGTGGTAGAAAATAATTAATGATGTCAAAATTTGGTGGCCATTGGATATGTTTCGGTACAAACAACTGTCAATGGTATTGTGAACCTTTTTTTCATGAATTGCATCAGCTGGATCCAACATCTCAGGTAAATAGAAGAAGCAATATAGTTTACCAGAATAATTTACAACTTCGCAGGGACGTATTTTCCCTTTGAGTATTGGCTACCTTTCTACCCCTATAAAAAATATTTTAGCGTAATAAAATCACTAGGCGACTACCTGAGAATTCTACTTTTAGAATCGAAGTGTTTACTAATTTTTAGCGCTATACTAGTTTTTGATATTTAGTTTATTATGTTAGAAAAAACATTAATATTGGAGGATAATAAGGGAGAAGGGTTATTGTAATTAAGACTCAGGCTGGAGAAGTAAATAATAAAATAAAAATAAAATAGATTGTTCAAAATTGTATACTCGTATTATATAACCATTTGTACTAAAATATTTAAATGACAGCCATCAATATTTGTTTAAACTTGTCACGTTATTAGAAAGTTCCTTTGCAATTCTTCCAATTAATTGATGAGATATATAATTTCCGTCAATTTGTCGAAGTCTTTGACATTTATAACCTCTCTGCCTACAGTAACCCTTTTAAGCATATTATGCAACCTTAGACTAGATAATAAAGATAGGACTCATAACTAAAGACCGGACATTTTAATCGCGTTCAAATAATTGGTTTTAATCACATAGGCGTCTCATTCTGGGTTCGCTATTTAAGACGGCAGACAGTGCGGCAGATTCTAATACTATCAGGACAAACCTCTTTTTTTTATTAAAACAAGATAAAAAAAGTGTACTGATATATACATAGACATTAAAACTAATACAAAAAAGTGAGATTTTTTTTTATCGTGTACCTATATTCTTTGTCTTTTGAATCATTTTCATTAAACAAATTTAATGTTTTCTTCTCACCAACGCCGAGGATATGTAGGATATTTTACAAAAGTTTTTAGTAACCTCAGATCCTTTAATTTGTGGCCTGAGAAATTTTCCTTAAAAAAAATAACTTTTTTGATGAAGATGTTAAACTTTTCATAAGCGAGTTTAAGGTGTAGTAATGTAAACGATATTCTGTATGATATTTTTTTTATTATTATCTCTTATATAATTACAAAATATCTATTCCTCAATATTTTGGCGTGGTACACTACTCTCCTGCCTAAAATGAGGATCGAGGACCCCAGCTGCCTCCCCCGAATTTGTTATTTCCTCCAGAAAATTGGAAATTTCTAGCCTTAGCTGGTCCCGATTCATTGTTGGAAAAATTGCATCGGGGCCAAATATTAGGACTCTACGAGCGTTTGGACTAAGACGCTGTAGAGAGGGCCTAAAATGAATGTCAAATAGGCCCATCATATGTTGTCTTATACTTTCTCGATCCATTGTCGGTTAGTTGCCGGTGATATTTTTATTCAAATAAAGTCAATCCTTATATTATATTTATGAATATTTTGGCTTTTATCGATACCGTACATACCGATTTTTTGTAACAAAAAATTTATGTTTTTATTTCCTGTGGATATTATGGTACTTATACACGATGAGACAATAAAATAAATGTCTGTTAAATTTCTGTAATGTATGTATTAATTCAATTGCTCACTCTATATAGGTATCTGTTGGTTGAAAAAATGTAAAAAGATAACAAAGAGTCGATAAACAGGAGATTTGAGAAGAAAGTGTCTTGTAAAAATATCACTAGATTTTTCCAATGAGTATATTTGTTTAGTTCAAAGGGAAAAGTGATAGAAACTGGAAACGTAAATATGGAAAATTTATTATCGGACTTTGATTGTTTTCGTCGTTTTAATGACAACAAATTATACTGCCGCAATTGTGATCAGGTGTTAGTTTTTAATGGAAAGTCAAGTATGACACAACATGTGAAAACACAAAAACACATGCAATCTTTAGAGGGATGTCCAGACAAAATCTTTTATGAAGATTTATGCAACGCATTTGTTTCTGCAAATATTCCATTAACAAAATTAAATAATACAATTTTCAAAAATTTTCTTTGTAAATATACTAAACGTAAAATACCGGATGAATCCACAATTAGAAAACATTATATTCAAAATCAGTACGATAAAGCAATGACGGCAATAAAAACGAAAATTTCCAGCAAATATATTTGGGTTAGTGCAGATGAAACGACTGACATAAAGGGTAGATGTGTTGTTAATGTTGTTGTAGGATTATTAAGTGCTGAAAATACTTCACAACAGTATTTAGTTTCTAGTGTGTTTCGTGAAACTGTGAACGCTGAAATGATTTATGAAATAGTGAAACGTGGATTGAACAATGTAATTGATAATGACGTTTCAAAAGTTTTATTGTTTATTTCAGACGCGGCAAGTGTAATGTTGAAAACAGGGAAACTATTACAAGAACATTTTCCAAACATGCTGCATGTAACTTGCCTTGCTCACGCGTTACACCGAGTTTGTGAGTTTATCCGTGACAGCTTTCCAGACATTAATTCGTTGATTAGCTGTTTTAAAAAAAATTTGTTAAAAGCACCGTCCCGAGTTTCTTTATATAAAGAAATATGTCCGAATATCCCCCTACCTCCACAACCAGTTATTACACGATGGGGAACTTGGTTACAGGCTGTGTTCTTTTTTTCGGAGCATTTCGACAGACTAAAAGTATTTATTTCCAACTTATCAGAGGACGCTCTCTCTATCACTCAGTGTAAAGGTTTAATAACAAAAACAACTTTGCAGTCGGAGTTAAATTTTCTTGCGACTTATTTTTCGTGTCTCCCAGAAACTATAAAATTCCTTGAAACCCGTAACTTACAATTATCGGTTGCTATGGAAAAATTTGAATCGACATTGTTACACTTAAAAAACGTAAAGTGGCCCTTACAAGATAAATTTAACCATAAAATAGATTGTGTTATTAAAAGAAATCCAAATTTACAGACTCTGAAACAAATCTCCCTGAACAATTTTAACGATTATGAAACTGCTTTAAAATATTGTGATTTTGTTCCACATTTTTCATTTGCTCCTGTAACGAGTTGTGACGTAGAACGATCGTTTTCTAGGTTTAAAGATTTATTGACTTCTAAAAGAAGTAATTTCACTGAAGACAATTTAGAAAAATATGCAGTCATACAAACATATTTTTCAAATGAAGAAGATTGATATTAATTTGTATTGTATATATTGTATATAATTGTATATTTGCTACTTTAGGATAAAGAGTGTATATTGGAACACTCTAAACATAAAACTAATGATGGTGTATCCTCGTTGATATATTTATTAGTCAATAATATATTAACAGAAAAAGCCAACAACATTATCCCACAACACAATAAAAAAATAAATAATAATATCATTTGTAATTAATTATATAATAATATCCAACCAAATTTGAACTAAAATTTAATAAAATAATTATTACAATGTAAATGTAATAATAAGCCCGCCCCAAATGTTACGCCCGGGCGATAAAAATCCAATATCTTATCTACTGTGTCGACCAGTTCAGTAAATAACTTGTTTTATTCAGAATGTATTATTCAAATCGAAGGTCCGCTCTTACCGTTACTTCGCTGATAAGAATAAATTAAATTGTCCGGTCTTTACTCATAACGCCGCTGAAAATCTTGTTCCATTCTGACACCGACGATATTCGACCAAAGGCGTAACATGTTGGAAATAAAAAAAACTTGTATTTATGTTATTAGTACTTTATTGATCTTTTTAGGTATAAAGCAAGTTCAAAGCGTAAAATTTAAAATAAATACGAACCAAGAACAAAATATATTGAAATAAACTGATTGAAATAAACATAATAAAATGAGTGTTTTTTTTTTAATTCCGCAAAATAAAATATAATGATCTACATGTATTACAAAAAGATAGTACAGACACGTTTTAAAGACATCTTAAAGACGTTTGTTCATGACGTTCGTGACGTTTTGAAGATGCACGCTAATATCCAAAAGATGTTTTAAAGGCTTCTATAGGACGTACATTGTTACAAAACAAGGCGTCTTTGGGACATCCAATTTTGTACGTCTTTTTGACATCCAGTTTTGTACGTCTTTAAGACAAACCGTATTGGACGTGTTTAAGCCCTCTATTTACTTGATGGAAATTCGTTTAAAAAAATAAATGAATACTTGTCTACTATATTTAATATTGTTTATTATACATAATTAAATTATAAAAAGTAACACATAGAGTAAATATTATTTTACAGTGTTGGATAAAATAATTAGAAAATGACTTCCAGTACAGATCGACCAACATAGCTTTGCCTCTGAGATGCGCAAACGATAAACAAATAGGGTTAGTGTGCGCGTTGTATGAAGAAATATAGTAGGGTAACCTTATGGACTTATCATTGGAGGACGATGGACATAGAATGTAGATGGCGATACTGTACTTATGTCCAAGTCAGGTCTTTAGGTCATGTCTGTGCTTGAGTATGAATTATAATTTAAAATCTTCTTTTTCATTTCTACTTGTCTTCGGTAATGTATTTTTATAGTTACAATTTACTATTTCAAATTATTACAAAAGCACAGAATACAGGGTATTTGAAGGTCACATAAAATGCGAAAATAATCGATATAATAAAATAAACCAGTTTTTGTTTGAAAAAGATTGAATTAGTTGAGATTGGGTGGAATTTTACTATAATAGGGAACATTTTTTCTATATTGTGGTTGGATTTTGGATATATCGCTGATGGTTAATTAAACTTGAGTTGTACGCTGTTAATTTATATTCACTTTTATTTAATGGTATCATCAAATTAAGAATAGGACATGAACAACTGAATATTATTGTTCAAAATGAGACGAATAGACGAAAATAAAAAATGTTTGGATAAAATGTTCTGAAATACAGGATGTTAAGTTGAAAATTAAAAAAAGTAATAATCGGTAAATATATAGGTAGTTATAATTTTATTCAATATAATTTTACTAAAATCGGCACTGACAAAATTTAACTAACAGATTTTTTTGCTGTTAGGTAAACTTATAACATAATACCAAACACGTTTAGTGAAATTATACTAAGTAATAAAAACATGTAAGCCACTAATTTTT